GATGCTCTTCTTAATGCAGCCCAGGATTCCATTGGCCTTCTTGGCCACGAGGGCACACTGCTGCCTCATGGCCAACTTATCATTCACCATGACACCCAGGTCTTTCTCTGCAGAGCTGCTCTCCAGAAGGTCGGTCCCCAGCCTGTACTGGTGTCTGGGGTTATTCCTCCCCAGGTGCAGAACCTTGCACTTGGCCTTGTTGAATTGCATGAGGTTTTTCACTGCCCAGTTGTCCAGTCTGTCCAAATCCCTCTTGATGACAGCGCAGCCCCCTGGGGTATCAGCTACTCCTCCCAGTTTGGTATCATCAGCAAACTTGCTGAGGCAGCACTCTTGACATGACTAAACCAAGCCATCAATGTGCCTGTGAGACACCATGGCAAAAGGCAGGGCAGTATGACTTAGCCCTCTGAAAATATGAAGTGACTACTTCACAGAAACTTACTATTTTATGGTAATTTATTTCATTAACTCAGTCTCCAGTAATTCTTGCTAACTGGTTATTCATGAAGCTACTTCAATCCCTGCAATATTTCATTCAAGAAAAAACATTGGTTCCTAAACTACTGAGTCTTACCTGTTGCAGCTGGAGCAGAGGAAGATGAGGAAGGTGAGGAATAAGAGTGTGGTCAGAGCTGCCAAACTTCCCCACAGGGTGGCGTGGAGCTGCCCGCTGCCTAAGAAGCTGCCGACTGGTCCCATGGTACTAGCAGGAGCTGGTGTCACTCTGGGATGAAGATGCTATTCCTTGGAGTGTGCTGGCATCTGGGATGAGCACCCCTTCTGCTTCTGCACACAGGAAAAATGAAAGTCATGGAAGATTCTAAAGACAGTGAATCTAGCACACACAAGTCTGGCAAGAGTGATATTTCAAATCCAGGTTTTTCTTACAAAAGCAACCCCCCCAAAAAACAGAAAAATAAACAAAAAAAGTCTCCCCAAAAATAGTTCTATGTACAAGACAGTCAGCCAGAGAGATCTGCAGCTAAGTTTCTGATGGTGACATGGAGCAAAACATATCAAGTATTAACACAAGCTGTTAAGCATCAGCAATCTCAACATCAATAAAATATAGCACACTGCTCTTGTACTTAGAAAAAAAAAAGTCTACAATGATGGTATTTGCTAACTCTACTAACAAAGTTTCAAAACAACTGAAACATGCCAAGTTATCAAAAGATAATTGTCGGAGACTTTCACTTCTTTCCCTCTCAATGCCTTCGGGTGTCTGCACATGACTTGGTATTTAAAGTACAATGTCAAATAGATCGTTTTTAAAAAGAATACCAGACAAAAAAAATCTTGCAGTTCACATCAGATCTCTCTTTTTTTTTTTTGCATATGAAATGTGAGTTTTCTTATTACTTTACCCTGGACAGGAGTAAGATCGGCTTCCCCCCACCCAGATGAGAATAATAAAGACAACAAATGAGAAGGCTAGATGCAGCATTTTTCGAGAACTTGAATTACCATAATTTTGCTACAACAGAGCAGTTCCTGGAGAAAGATCCCAAGTAAAGGCATTTATGTTTATATATGATAACATATGTAAGTTTTGGCATTCAAAATATGTTAAAATATAGTCCTTATTTCTACTGTAAGACATTGTTGACCTAAGGCAAAATTTAAAAGAAGACTTTCTTTCTGCATAGTTGAAGCTATCTTTGTCCCCACAATTTAGAAATACACTATACGAAGTCAAGTCATAGCCTTGCAGCTAGACCTCAGGATTGATTAACATTCAAATAAAGTACAATGGTTAAGAAATTAGCAATAAATTTTGGGGAACGAAAAGCACCCCAACCCAAGATCGAATAATGCCTAAAATACCTTGAATTATTCTCATTTTATCTATATATTATCATATATATATGCTTATATATATATATGAAACAGATAAAATTCGTTTTATATATACATATATTTTCCATCAGAAATACACTTTTCACAAGCAAATACAATTAGGCAATAATGTCAGATCTGTATCAAAAGCAATCTGTTACCATGTTGGTATCAAATTCTTATGAGAAAAAGCTTAATCTCCAAGAAAGGAGCATTCACATCAAAGCAAAGAACTTAAATAGAAGGAACTTAAATAATAAGTTATGTGACTAGGTAGTTTTTACAAAGACTATTCCTATTCCTGTATAAAATTAGCTTGTTGAGTTCTACCATGTGGGATCAGAATTACAGACACATATCCTAAAGAACCAATTCTTACTAAATCGCTCAGGGTGAACAGAAGCAATTTTTTAGGTAGCAATTTGCATTCATAATATAATATATTCATGTATTTTTTAGATATTTATGAAATCACAATGAGAATGAGGGGAAGGAGATATGGAATTTTTTACTTTTTTTGAACATTTCTAGAAATATCCCACTCATTCTGTTCAGTTTATATTTATTGCAGGGAGCAGAGAGAATATAAGGAATACAACAAAATAGACCTAAGCTTGGAGAAGTCACTGAAATAGGAACAGCAGTTTCTCATCCTAGAGATAATGGAGTTCTCTCTCTCTGAATTGGAGTTAAATATTTCTCGTTTGGCTAAGCAATAAGAAAACCATAACCCCTACGGGGTTTTAAAACCCAGTAAATACAAGGGATGGGAGGAGCAGGTGCCCCACACTTGGGCAAAGCCCTTGGCTGCCCTCCCGGCATCTCGGTGCTGTGGGAACAGAGCAGCAGAAAACAGGGGGCAATGCTTGAAAAACCCTCTTGGACAGGGGTACGCAAAGAGATGCCCGTGGAGGTGGTGGGCATGGAGAAGACCCTCCAAAGAACGCAGCAGCAAGAGAGTTATCCCGCTCCAAACCTTTCTTAGAAGTTTGGAAGAGGAAGCACTGATTTTCTTTTCAACTATTTTTTAAAAAAATTCCAGAGGCATTTTTTCCAACCTCTTGAAACTTATAAAAATGTACCCTCTTTAAAAAAAATACACAGTTTTCTTCCTTCTTTGAGGAAAAAAAGGACAGAAAAAAAAAGAAGAAAATGAAAACTGAACAAAAGCTTTTTCTTTAAGATTTCTGTTGTTTTTCCCTCCATATTTTTGTCAGGAAACAGGTAAGACAGAAGGAGAAAATGCAAATGGAAAGAAAAAAAAAAAAGCTCCTTTTTAATACTGAACAGAGAAAATGAAAATATAAGAACAAAGCATAAGGGCCTCAGAATTTTTTCCCTTTTTCTGAAAACAGAAACAAATCATTATTTGATTTTTTAAAAGCAGACACAAAGGTGTCTTGAGTAATTTACATCATTTCTAGCGATAAGTTTATGATTTTATGCCTGCACTGATAAGCAACACTATATTCCACTCAGAAAAACGCAGTCGACTAGATAACCTTCCAAAAGCTAATATGGCAGGCAAAGTTATTCTCTTATTCCCCAAATACATCCTTAGGTACTAAGGCTGATGAAGTAAGGCAATATCTGAGTAAAGGAAGGCTAAGGATGCCAGGAGAGCTGCGTCCTTTGAAGCCTCCTGCACAGAATTACGAAGCTACAGGATGAGCAGCAGCTGCTGGAGTTGAGAGACGGAGCTTACAAAGGGCTGAGATCAGGGGCAGCGGGTCAAGGGAGATGTGTGTTTGAGTGGCAAGAGGGAAGTGCAAGACTGAATCCAGCAATGAGAAATCCTACTGGGCAGAAGCCAAACGGAGGCAAGAAAAGGGCCAAGGACAGAAGGTGTAGGTATTCTACAGTGAGAGACTAAGGATTCAGACGCAAGTCTCTCACTGTAAATTGTGGGGGAAAAAAAAAAAAGAGAGGTCAATAAAGGTCAGAAAAGTACAGTGGCACTTGAACTTGGGGAGGCAACTACTAAAGGCACTGGTTACTCACGCGAGCAGAACAGGGCATCACATCGGAGTGATTTCGCAAGGAATGAGGCAGTAATGAAGCCCTCCAGGAGAGGAGCCCGAGCAGGCGAGATGTGACTCCCTTCAGCCCCTTAAACTGCCGGACTATGGTAAGTGCAAGAAGGGGAAGGCAGAAGCTGCTCAGTGGTATACGTGCCTAAAGACAAGAAGAAGTGACTGCAGCCCAATACAGGAAAGCACGTTTGCATATGCTAGGCACTGCTCCCTGCTAATGGTACTTGTTCAGCCATCAGAGAACTTATTCCTACGGATTAATGCTTCCTATATAGTGAAATAGCTTCCTTTTGGGCACACAGGAGAGCTTTGGAAACAGCGAGGGTTGGACAAGCACCCACCTGAGCACCCCGGGAGGGCAAACAGGCACCGGGATGCAAGGAAAGCACAGGCACCTGCTCTCCTCGGCACGTGCCTGGTCCCTGCACAGTCTGTGGGTTATGGAGCTGCTCTGAGGCTTCCTTTTACGATGCAACAACAAGCTGCTAATTTCACAAACCTCTTTTAAATGCCTTAAATGATTAACTACTGCTTTAAGGAGAAAAAAGTTATATTGTGCTGCCCCCTGGTGAAGCTTTCCTTTAGGAAAAAGGTAGCGGTGCCTGCAGTGACCACGGTGGCTCCTGCGACGGGCCCAGGTGCTAAAAACGGAGGCCTGTGTGCAGCCTTGCACCCGCTTGGCCTGGAAAGGAAGCCTCCTGCCCCCCTCCAAAGACACTCGGCCTCCTATAGTTTAACATTGCAGAGAGGAAGCAATGGCCACCTGAACATTTTTTATTTAATCTGTGAAGATCTTTTGAGATAGAAGATTTCTTTAGGTTGTACTTCCTCCCCCTCGTCCCCCAGAGAAAGGCAAGAATATCTTTGTTTAGAAATCTCCACACAACTTGCAAGTAAACTCTAAATAATAATAAAGACAGGCTTGGAATAGCTGGATAAGAAAAATTCTTTCACCTAGGACAAAATACAAACACCTCTTCACACTCACATTTCGAAATCATTATTCAGAGAAGTAATTCTTACTTCATAGATTTTCTCCTTGTTCAATTATTCCCTTGCTTTTTAGAAATTGGTATTTGCCAATAGTGGACCCTATGTGACAAATAACCCCATTTCCTGAAAACTGCACATAATTATGCTTGGCAGTTTCAGAAAGATATGTATGTTTTTTCATTTCACAAACCCCATTTTCATAGCAAACAACATGTTCTTCTCCATACAGTTTTTCTGGAGATAAAGCACAGCTTAGGCATTTTGGCAAGATTTTGGGGAGGACGGGTAAGTGCAATGTGGGGCACAAGTGAAGATTTGCTGCCAAACCGAAGCATACAGACGCGCCGGGGGGGAAGCCACTTTGAAGCCAATGTACCCGGTAGAGCTTGGGGAGGCCGTGGTCTTAGCGAGAGCGATGAGAGGGAATTCCAGCTAGCAAGGAAGCTCATGCAAGAGCTGGCATTGAGACCTGAGCATCATCGAAGGCCACCAAGAGACTGATCCAGCACCCTTTGGATCTGGGATCTGGTCTGTGTTTTCTACGCAGTTTTGGGCAATCCCTGTGCCCAATGTTGCTTTGCGTGGCTCCCGAGGCCAGCGTGACGCCATGTGAGGTAGCAGTGCCCACACTTTCCATCGAATTCCCAAGGAGAAGGAGTGGGAAAAGCTGATGGCGTCACCTCTCTGGTTTTCTTTATGAATTATAGATACAGCAGAGGCGAGGGAAGAAATTGTTTTGACAACTGAGTGACTTTGAACGTGAGAACCCAAACACAACAGGACAGGACAGATTCAAGGAGAGCTCAGAGACCAAGACTCCCTGTCCTAGCCTGTCAGACCAG